TGAACTCATAGAGATCCGCCTGCCTCTGCCTCCCGAGTGCTGGGATTAAAGGTGTACGCCACCAACGCCCGGCTTGCAGTGACTTTTTATGTGTATATCCTGAAATATGTATTTATTCATTGGATAAGTGAAGCTTCTGGCTTTGACGGTTGTTAGAGCCTTTCCTTTTATAGAACCGTTGTCATTAATGGTGGGATTCAGGCCTTGATAATTTCATTGACCTGGAAACCAATAGCTGTAAGAGAGGGAGGAGGGGCGTGTTCACCTGTGTTCCCCAGGAGATGGGGAATGAAGATTGAGGGGAGCCAGATTAAGGTGGACCAGGCCTTCTAGTGAGTGCCACTCAGCTATGTGTGAGGACACACAGTTACTGGAAAGAAATGATTTAAAGAAGAGAAGATTGATTGCTTTGGCTCGTAGGTGCGGGGTTCGTCTGTCTTCTGCTACCTTTGTTTTTATGAGACAGAATCATCACAGCTAGGAGCATATGGAGGAAAGCTGCTTGCCTCATAGCAGAGAGGAGGTACAGAGACAGCAAGGAATATCTTGTGACTTCTGAGGACACTCTCTCTGTGATCCGAGTTCACTGGGCTCCACCTCTGAAAATGGCTTCTGCCACCTCCCTATAAAGACATCAAATTATGAATCTACTGAAGACACCCCCGATCCAATCTCTTTCCCACCTCTGAGCATTTCTGCACTGGGGGCCAAACCATTGATGCTTGAGCCTTGTGGAGTGGGTCCAGACCATAACACAGAGTGGAAGCTGCCAGCACTGGATTTATCCTTCTAGGCCATTGGTGACTCCTGAATCCGGCTGCACTTATCACCTTACTTTTTAGCTCTGGCAGTTTTCGTGTTTGATCAGAGTCCCTGTGCAAGGTAGGACAGGGAGCCAGGCTCCTAGCTTGTGGAGACACCCTAATGTCTGCCTCACCAGGGGCGTCTCCATTTCTTTCCCATAGTTCTGTGATTTAGGGTAACATTGGTGTTACGATAAAGCGTGTGGGGAACTTTGGCGGGTTCCATGGCTGTTGAGGTTGATCAAGGCAGAGGGACAAACACACCAAGCAGACAGAGCTTAAGTGAGAAGTTTTATTAGAAAGGGAAGTGGGGGAGAGGTAAAAGAAAGAGGTAAAGAGACACAGAGACAGAGAGAAGACAGAAGAGGAAGACAGAAGAAGTCCTGTCAGCCCCAGGGGAATGGCCGGAAAGAGCATAAGTGGGCAGGAGCCTTTTTAAAAAGGGGTCCTTTGCACCTGAGTGCAGAGTATGCAATCATGGAACCCTGGGCTGACCTGTGTGCATTCTGTCAGGTGACAGGAGCAGGCCAGTATAATGCCTGAGTCCTTACATACAGTTGGTTCAAGTGGAAATGACACAGTGCTTGGAGGCCACACAGGTCTAAGTTACACTGGAATTTGAGGCCTGTTGGAGTTTCCCTCATCCATAAAATGGATGTGATGAAATATTCCTTCTGGAATGACTGCCAGGATGGAGTGGAAATTGAGTACTCATTAGCAAATCTGGAGAACAGAGGCTTTATGCCGACTGTGACAACTTGAGGCTGCCAGCCTGGAACTGGCCTTGGAGGACGGTAGACTAGTCCGGTTGTCTAGGAATGGAAAAGCTCACAGTGTCTCCACCAGCATAATTTCCATCTTTACTGGGCCAGCAATTTGCTTTCTGAATAAACACACAAATAAGTAAAAGGAGAAGCAGCCAGGGGGTGGAGGAGACAACCTAGTGGATGCTGAGGGGGAAGCTGGGGAGACAGTTAGTGAAGGAATTGCATTCTGGGTTAAAGGAGAGGTTTTTGGTCAACCCCTTTGCTTTCAGTTTCATCATTTCCTGAGAGTCCTAATTTAGCTTCTGGTGTGTCCTGCTCGATTATGGCCTAAAAAGGCAACAGCTTGGGTTTCTGAAGTTGGATGGGCACCGGCAGGAAGCTGCTGGGGAAGAGCGGCTTAGCCCGACCCAGTCTCTAGTGGGCCAGAGCCGCTGTGTCCGTCCCTTAACTCCTTGAGTGCTGCCTTCCAGCCCCTCTGAGGAGGAACCCAGTGCAGCTGCAGGAGCATCCTGTGAGTGAGTGCCAGAGCAGGCAGCATTGGCCAGGTCAGGTTCTAGCGGTGCCATGCGCATGCGGTGCGGTGCGTGAAGTGGCGTGGCTGCAAGCTCACTGCAAGGGGGACCTACAGGCAATAAGGGAACCCCATCAAAACTGTATCGAAAAACTGTTCGGGGGCTAGCCCAGTGGTAAATGCTTACCTAGCATGCACAAGGCCCCGGGCTCAATTCAATTCCTGGTACTACAAACAACAACAACAACAACAACAACAACAAAACAAAACCAAATCCAAGATACCTCTCCTTAGCTATGTCACTCAAAACCAAACAAAACCCGCTTTGGATTACTATGCAGTCATTAGTGACCCACAAAGAAGTGTTCTGGGTTTGAGTCCCAGCCCTCTTAGCACCAGTGAACTAGTAGATCACTTGTAAATGAAGCTTTGGGATAAACACAACAGCCTGTAGGGAAATGGATGCAGTAAGTAAGGGAGGTAAATGTGAATCTCTTTTCTGTCTATGAGAAGTGTTCCCGTGAGTCAAAGTTAGAGGGGTCCAGTAAAAAGAGAGAAGATGGCTTAAAAAAAAATTCTATGTATATCAGTGTTTTGCCTTCGTATGTGTGTTGTGCCTGGTTCCCATGGATGTCAGAAGAGGGGATCGAATCCCCTGGATCTGGATTACGTAGATGGTTGTGAACTACCATGTGCATTCTGGGAACCAAACCTGGATCCTCTGCAAGAGCCACAATCGTGTGTAGTTAGGCCATCTCTCCAGCTCCCAGAGACTGATTTTTTTTATTAAAAAAATGTTAAGAATATGCATATACACTGACCCCTTCCCCCACTGCGCTGTGACAATTGCAGCACAAGTCTAGGACTGCAGCCACAGAGGAAGAGGTAGATGTGGGTTCGAACCCCACTGCATGACTGAGCTGGGGATCCCGAACAGTAACACACCCCCTCTCTCTCAGCCTGTTCCCCCTTCTGTGAACTGGAGAGAATAAAAGCTCCTTTCTAGAGAGGCGGGCAGTGAGGCAGCACACTTGATGTTGGTGGTAGACACTTTACAACTAACTGCCCCACCTCTTGGGGTAGGGATCTTGTGCAGGGCAGTGGTACAGACTCAAGTGTACCCTCAGGCGTCTTCACTGGATGAGATGGGTTTCCCTAGCTAACGCAGGTTAGCCTTCCAAGTGCTGAGCCTATAAGCATGTAGTGAAACTGCCACATACTTAGGATTTTGGAGGAGTGCAATGATGGAGTTGTCACACCCCTTTTGAGTTTGAGTTCTGAAAAAGTTGGGAACCAGCAGCTGATGAAAGCCTGGGTTCTGTGTTTATAGTGGTTTGTGAGCAGAGCAGGGATGTGGTGGGGAGACCGTTAGTCTTGGTCAGGCGCCTTTTGGGAGGTAGAAGACAACTGGGGATTACTGTGGCAGACAGAAGGTTTGCCCAGTGGCCTGGTCTAAATTGACAGTGCCTGGACCAAGTGCTGGCTGGCACTCTAGCACGCACTCCACAGAGAAGACTGAAGGCACTTTACAGCTGCCTGATTATGTTTTGCTTGCTACCAGCTGACACTGGCCCTGGCCTCTCTTCAGCTGTCCTTGCAAGGTAGATGGTGCCTTGTGCAGGGGCCTAAGTGGGTGCAAGGACTGCCAAATTTCCTGGTGCTGGGTTTAGATTTAAGGAAAGCCACCAGCTGAGGGAGCTGCTGAGGCTGCCAGGGTTCCCTGAACTTGCTTCCCTCTTGGGAGGGAGTTTGGGAGTACCTGGTTTCCCGGAAGACAGCCTCTGGTGTAGAGAGCAGGGAGCCCCTGAGCCTAGGTCTGGAAACCATTTAACAAGCCAGAGATGGAGGCCTGGGCAGCCAAAGCCTCCAGCCTCTTTGACATTCAAGTCCCTCTCTGCTGGAATCAGGAAACTTGAAAGCTGAGCAACTCTGGGTTTGAATCTGGGAACTTTGTGGCTTTCCAGAGTAGGATGGCCAGATTTAATCTCACAGAGCAGGGCTTACTTGTATCCCTTACTTGTTCTAGCTTTTGGTTGCTTCCCCTGGTGGCTTTGGACCCAGTGCCTTATACCAGGTTTCAGATCCTGGTTTTGATTCAGCCAAAAGCAACAGTCCTCCAGGGATCCAGCCTGTGTCTCTGGGCGGTGTTTAGCACCGCCTTGCTAAACACGGGAAGGCCATAGACCAGGACCTGGAGTCCTTGAGCTTCTCTGCACACCCCTTGGCTCCCAGAGAACTGTGCTTTCAGACAGGTGTCTGTAATATATATTATAATGATGCAATATGTAATATATATTACATAAGGATGCCCATGCCATTTGTGGTTCTGTGAGGAGTATTAGCTTCTCATCTTTATTCTTCAAATGAGCTTTGAAAAGAACAAGTCACACAAGCGCTCCTGTCCCCCTGACCCATTAGGCATTCCTGTTCCCTTTCATTTCATGGGCTAGCCCAGGGCCTGACTTTGGTTCTGATTTCTGTCACTGTGCAGTTGTAGAGAGCTGCCATTCTGTATTGTTGGTGTATTCAATGGTGTGGTTGCTCTGCTATCTTAGTGGTGGGCTGTGGCTGAGTCCATCTTTGTGGAGACTCTTAATTCATCCCTACCCATGGTAGTGCTGTTTATAGAATTGCATATGTGCTGATCATAGAGTGATACACTTACTTATTAATTTCTAACCAAATCTTGCTTTCTCTCAGATATGTAGAGTAAGAAAATTCTGGAAATCGCTAAGTCTGATTATGTAGAATTTCATTGCATTGTGGGGGAAGAGGGGCGGAGGGGGGAAGGAATATGGAATTAGGGTTGGTATGTAAAATGAAAAATACATTTTTTAAATTAAAAAGAATTTCACTGTATGAGCGTTTGCAGGGAGAGGTCTTCTGTGGCTGATGTTCTGTCACTTTTCCTCTTCCTAGGTCCTGGCCATAAGTCACCATGGCCCAGCAGGCTGCAGACAAGTACCTCTATGTGGATAAAAACTTCATCAATAACCCGCTGGCCCAGGCCGACTGGGCTGCTAAGAAGTTGGTATGGGTGCCTTCTGACAAGAATGGCTTTGAACCGGCCAGCCTCAAGGAGGAGGTGGGCGAGGAGGCCATCGTGGAGCTCGTGGAGAATGGGAAGAAGGTGAAGGTGAACAAGGATGACATCCAGAAGATGAATCCGCCCAAGTTCTCCAAGGTGGAGGACATGGCAGAGCTCACGTGCCTCAACGAAGCTTCAGTGCTGCACAACCTCAAGGAGCGTTACTACTCGGGGCTCATCTATGTAAGTGGCCAGGTGGGGGTGGGGTGCCAGGGCTCCAGCCAGCTGGGTGAGAGGAGGGCTTTAAGGAGTGCCAGGTGAGATGCTCACAGCTGTTGCACATGTACATCCTGGTGGAGTGTTCTGTGACATTACCCTTTCTGTGCCCTGCCCACCCTGTTTTTGGCCACATGTAGGAAGAACATGCTTCCACCTCCTAGCCTCTGACTTCAGATTTTTGTGAAGACATGTGGGTTCAGGCCAGCATAGTAAATTCCTTCTGAGTGCTGTTGTCTCCTGGCTCCCTTGTGTTCTTCCTGGACCACCTGGCAACCCCAATAGCCACTAGTTTGGTTCAGTCCCATTTTGGTACTTAAGACTTTTTTTTTTTTTTTTGGCTTGGTAGAGCCTCTTTTCCTAGGGGTTACACATAGAACAGAGCTGAGCTGCCAAGAATGGAATGGTGACATACCAATATTTAGTTAGTACTTATTCCACGCCAGGTCCTACAAAAAAGTGGCATTAAGTCCTAAGAGCAGTGTGAGCAAAGGCCCTAAGTACACAAAGACCAGAGTCTGTTTCTTCTACTGGGCTATGATGTTTTTGGATGCATAGTTTTATCACTATGTGGGCAGTGTTGAGAGGGAGCATTTCCCCAGCTCCTTGTTATAGGCTCTGAGGTCACAGGGTTCCTTCTAGTACTAGCCCCAGGTTCACCTTTTTTCTTTCTTTGGAAACAGAACATTTATTTTATGATGGATCATTAAAATTCTCAAGATGAACCGGATGCTGCATCCGCTGTCACTTGGACTTAGACATTTCTCCGTCACAAAATCCATATCTGAATCTGCCATAGACAGTTCTTATGTGCCCCGTTTGCCGGTCTCACCCTGCTGTGCACGTCCTGCGCTTGCTGACTATGTCACATGGTGTTGCAGAGCCTCACTTCCTCTGTAAAGCTTCCAGGTTGCTTTCAGCTTGCACCAGGTCTGGACTCTGGCTGCCAATGTTTAAGTCAAAGCCCTCTACTTGGCCTCTTACTGGTGTCTCCATTTAACTGAGCTCCTGGGGAAGAAACAGGCTAGCCACTTGCTCTTACCTCTAGCTAGCTGTAAGCGGTCTTTCCTTCCTACGCAGGCAATATTAGCTGTCAAAGTACATAGTGTTAAGTCTCTGCACCCTTGTGAGTGACATGCAGGGCTTCATTCTGTAGGTGGATGTGGTGTGCAAAAGCCAAGGTTTTTTCCCCTAGAGCTCTGGTGGCTGGCATTAGCTCTTGGCTTGGTTCCTTTGCTGTCCTGTGTAGGTTCCCCTGCCACAGACCATCCCCCAGGGAGCATCCCTTTGGTAGCTGGCTGGACAGGGCTGCAGACTCCCTTACAGCTATATTTGTGCAGCAAGGTTCCACACTGTGACCTCAGGAACCTTCATACTGCATTTGCCCAGCTTTGTGGGTGGCACAGCCAATTCTGCACCACAGCTGCTCTGTCTTTTCCTTTGGGGGAAGTGAGGCTCTGGGACAGGGGGCGATTGGGCACAAAGAGCCTCTGTGGCCTGTGAATGGAGCAACTCCCTGGTGAGGCCGCGTGGGAGCAGAGCCACTTGCTCAGTGTCTGTGCTTCCACGAGCATTTAATGTGCTCCTTCCTCCCACCTGAGCTGTGTGCCCCTTCTCAGGGTTCAGTTGGCTAGTGTCCTTGGCTTTGAGGGGTTAGCCCGGAGTCTTTTAGAGCCCTCTGCAGTGTCATCTGCCCATCCAGCTGTCCAAAAGAATGGTTCTAATGACCCTCTGTCCCCTTCTGTTTCTGCCAGCTGTTTCAAACATCTGGCTTTGTGGCATACCCTATATGTGGGACCAAGTGTCCTTGGCTTTTATCAGGCTGGAGATCATAGAGTATAGGTTTTTTTCTCCAAGGCTGAGAACAAAGTCCAATTGTTTGGAGATCCTGGGATGACCTCACTATTTTCTGGCCTTCTATCTTATCCCCACCTGATGCCATCTGGCATTCACACAGAGGATACCACAAGATGACGTTGTTCTCTTTTTCCTTTTGCAGGACCCAAGCCAGTGCAACATTTAGGTTTCTTTGCTTTGACCTTCCTGATCCCTTGAAAATAGAGTAGTTGGAAGGAGAACACTTGGCCGAAGCCCCCCATCCTACTCCCACAACCCCCTGGGAAGAAGGAAGTCTTCCTTAGTGTCTGGGTCAGCCGCTCTCCCTAGTGCACACCAGTGCACTTGGTTAGGGTACAAATGGTTCCCTCGGGAGAGCAGCTGACCAGCATCTAGGTGTTGGGGTCCTCTGAGCTTTGTCCTCAGCCTAGCTTTTGTTCACATTTCCAAGGAGAACCATTGGTCAGTGCTGGGGAAGAGCCCTGTCTTCATGCCTGGCTTCTGTGTAAACCTCTGAGTTGAGCCTTACAGTCTACTAGAGAGAGTATAGGTGGAAGGGGCTGGATGCATGCCACAACCAGCTCCCCAGATGGGCTGCTCCTGGATCAGGGGATAGAATTGTGCAGTGGAGACACAGGGAGCATGGAGTGAGGAAAGCAAAGGATGTTTGGAGAATTGGCCCTCCAGACCAAGGAGGTTGGCCTTGGTCTTCTTGAGGCCTGACTTCATCATGCCTTGTGACCTTTGACTGTCCCTTAGCAGAAAGGGGTGGTTTTGGTGTGGAGTCTGGGGTGCTGAGCCTCACTCCTCAGCTTTCGTTTCAGCATGAAATTGTTTTCCAAAGAAGATAAGTGCTGAGGTTGCTATTGCTGTTTGAAGACAGCCCTGTCTTCCAAACTGAGAATCCCTGGGTGCCCTTGGCAGGGACCGTTCTCATGTGCTGGTTAAGAGTCCACCATCTGTGTGTTTGGAAGGAGCAGGGAATTTATTAGAGTTGGTCACAAGGCATTGTGGGCATTTCCTCCAGAAACGTGGAGGAATGAGCTGTGTAAGCTCACCATAGGCAGCAGCTTTCCTGAGTCTCAAACAGCAGCTCTCCACATTGGTGTGTTCCTACTCCTCACCATGCAGCAAGGTGCCAACCTCTATCCATGCTCTTTCTACAGATTGGGAAGTGGAGGAAGAAGGGTTAGGACCCCACCCCCACATCCCAACTGGGATTTGAACTCAGGGTATCTACTCCAGGGCTTTGTTTTTAAAGGTCAAAGCAGACCTGGAACATTGGGCATGTTGTAGGTGTCTGGCATTAAGGGTCTTGACAATTTGAATTTCTGCCCCTGGAGAAGGCTTTCAGAGGATCCAAAAGTGGCCTTTATGTTTTTGAAGGATTTGCACAGGCATACATGGCATGAGCTAATTTAGCCATTGAGGACCTAGGGTGAGCTTTCCCAGTGTTAGAAGGCTGGAGCGCCTGTGTCGGTGTAGAATAACTTGTGCTTTTTTGCAGTTTCCTGAGATACAGTTGAATCCTTTATCTTTGTGCATCTCTCACAATGATAGACACATCTCTTATTGTCCTAGAATCTGGGTTTTTTGTTTTGCTTTTTGTTTTTCAAGACAGTGTTTCTCCACATAGCCCTTCCTCTCCTGGAACTCACTCTGTAGAATGGGGCCTGTCCAAACTCAGAGATTGGCCTGCCTCTGCCTTCCATGTTTTGCTTTTTGTTTTTCAAGACAGTGTTTCTCCACATAGCCCTTCCTTTCCTGGAACTCACTCTGTAGAATGGGGCCTGTCTAAACTCAGAGATTGGCCTGCCTCTGCCTTCCGAGTGCTGGGGGATTAAAGGTGTGCGCCACCACCACCTAGTGGAATCTGAGTTTTGTAACTGGACTCCTGTATGTTTTTATATGGACCTTGTCTGATGCACACTTGTCAGCATACAAAGCCAGCAGCCACCTGTGTGTTAGTACGCCAGCAGGAGCGGGAGCACCAGAGAGCACTTTCTCTCTAGGCTGAGTTGTGGCCTTGGGAATGGGACACTCAAACTTGCTAACCCATTGCCTCCTGTTGCTTTCTGTAGACCTATTCAGGCCTGTTCTGTGTGGTCATCAACCCTTATAAGAACCTGCCCATCTACTCAGAGGAGATTGTGGACATGTACAAGGGCAAGAAGAGGCATGAGATGCCACCCCACATCTACGCCATCACAGATACTGCCTACAGGAGCATGATGCAGGGTGAGTGTTTTGGGGCACTAAGGCCATCGCCTGGCCTTTCTAGGGGTTTCATCCCTACCTGTGGTGTCAGGACACCTAGAGCTGATCCACATTTACTGTCCCATTCCTCTAGTGGCTGGTGATGGGGCAGTACATCATAGAAGCTTGTTGTATCATCATATAAGAGCCAGGGCCAATGGCTATATAAAGGACAAGTTTATATGTTGATAGACTGTTCTAGAAACTTTCAAGACCACTTCCTGATTTGTTTCTAACGTACCCATCCTTCTAAGAGTTGCCCATATCAGTTTTTGCTTCTGTTCTAGGTCTTTCTATCAGTTCCTCATTTTCTCCCTCTTTTCCCCTTGTGTGGTTCTTCGCACACAGTTGGTAATATGCTGGAGTGCACTCGAAGTCTCACCTGGTGGTTGTAACTCTCCACTTGCCTGTGTTCTCTGTTGTGTCACAGTAAAGGGCTTTGGGTGGATGCTCACTAATTCTTTCTCCTCCTGACCACACCCTGGCTGGACTGACTGGCAGGTCACCCATTACCTCCATACTTCTGAGTTCCTACCTTCTTCCCCTCTCCCTGGTATGAGGTAGTCTCCCAATCCCTGCCTTTCCTTCAGGTGTCCCTCTGCTTCCTTAGACTCCCTCCTTCCCCATCTACTTGGCTGTCTCCATGGTTCTCTTGCTCCTGCCTGTGGGTGCTCCTTTTAGGTTCATCCTCAGCCCTGGGCCTTTCATTCAGCCACTAGAGTGTTTTCTGCCACCAGTGCCTGGCTATACACTGGTACTGTCCCTGATCACTACCAAGCAGTTTGTCTGTCTTCACATGTGGCTACTAGAAGCTACACACTTGTCACACACTTTCCTGTCCTCACCACCTTTCACAACCCAGTCAACGCTTGTATTTTTGTTTTTGTTCTTTGGGTTTTGAGACAGCCCTTCATTATGTAGCCCAGGATGGTCTTGAACTCAGAAGCCTCCCATCTTGTGCTTCTCCATGCTTGGTTTCACCCACTTTGTAGGTGTTCTTTCTGTTATTGTTCTGGTTCTGTTTTCTTCTTACCTTCACAGCTCTAGCCTTAGGTTCGGCTTTGTAACTCTTCGTACTCTTGGCCTCTTAAATTCTGTTCTGTCAGAGCCTCTGCCTGCCAGCTGACCACTTTTCAAGACTGGTTAGAGTTAGACACATGAAGAACCTTCATACCCTCCCCTCCCTCTGCTACCCCTGCCAACTCTGGGAGCTCCATGCATTTCTCTGGCAGGCAGGTCTTTCTGCTTCAGAACTCTACACTTGCTCCACCTGCACACAATGGTTGCACACAATGCTTGCACACAATGCTTGCACACAGTGGCAAGGCACTGCTACTCTCTGGAGCCCTCTGTTCCCCAGGGAGAAGACTCACACCAGCTTTACATCAGACCCAGGCAATGCTTTGTTGGATTCGGGCATTTTAAACTTTTATTTTCTCTCCTTAGTGTGGACCAGGCCCATACTGCCCTTATATACTTAGAATGTTGCCAAGTCCCAGGCCTATGCAGTCCAAACTCAGGCTCGACTCCCAAAGAGAAGGGCCAGCTTGTTTTGGTAGTGGTTTCTTTTGCATTCTCTTTTTTTTAAATGTTGCAGTCCATCTGGGCAGCAGTGGTGATGCCCCTCATATTAGCTTTGCTTAAATGGTTTAAATGGCAGTGTGCACCCTTCACTCTGCCCCCAGTTCTGTGTACAAGATATTTCTCAGTCAGATTATTAATTAGGCAGGAAGTGCAAGTTTGGCCTAGCCTTTGGCTTTCGTTCACATCTATCAGGATTCCTTGTGGAAAGCCAGCCCTTTGGTTTTAAAGTGGATGTCTGTTTGAAAGTGCTAATGAGAGCAGTCTGGTGGGAGAACATTTTGTGAGATTCCATAGGAGTCTGAGTTTCTGTCTCTAGGTTATGAGTCACTTTCCCTTGGCTCTCCAGCAGCGCAGTGTGAGAAGTGCATTGGGGTCTTCCTGAGCAGGGCGTGTTCTCATTCTTTACCAGGGTTTCAGCTGCCCCCTTCTAGGCAATCATGGGCGAGTAATGGAGAGTGGCTCCAGCAGCTAGTCATTGGAGCTGGGCTCTCCGACTCTCATCACATAACCTGTGGGCTCTTTCCCAAGAGAGTTAACCAGATTTCATTTTTTCGAAAGGAGAAAGTTTGAGGAAGGATTTCTGAAGGTCACATAGATTGGAAATGATTAAGAGAAAGAGATAAAGTGATGTGTCCTGTCCATAGCAGAGCAGCCTCATCAGGGAAAGAGCTGGCCTGGACCATTAGAACAAGACCAGGGGGAGGGATTGGTTGTCAATGTGGAGACCTCCAAGCCCAGTGCTTCTCCAGGAATGGTCTGTGTAGTTGCTGGGGTCACCCTCAGCCTGAGAGGCCCCCACTTTGCTTTCTGTTTTGCTTTGAGATTGCCAGAACTCTTTAGCCCCCAAGTAGACCTACTAAGTGCATTCTAAGCTGTTGAAAAGTTCCTTGTTGTACACAGTGAGTCCACAAAGCCTTTAGTAGTAGTTGTCTTCTTGTTCTTGGGGTGTGAAAGAAGTTATTCACACAACCCTGCCTGTGACAGACACCATGGGTCACTAGTAGAGAGTGTTTCCAAAAGGGACCCTGGATTCATACCCTAAGTCAGGTATTGTAGGTGGAGCTTTGGTCTTCAGGCTGTTGGAGCCTCTTAATCTCTGTTTTGGGGTGAAGGCTTGCTGTCCCCCATATCTTAAAAGGTATGGCCAGATGGTTCCTCTTCTGCCTCTCCTCCCCCAAGAACTAGACAAAAAATTTCCTTCCTGAGTTGGCTGTGGCTTATGACATACTAGCATTTATTCTGCCAAATAGGGTAGTTGGTGGCTTTGTCTGAGGACTTTTATGAGACAAGCTTTTTGACCCCTCCTGGGGCCCTTCCTTGTTTTCAAACCCTTTGGTGCTGTGGTTTGCCTATATAGTCTTGGTCACTGCCTGTGGCTCTTTCAGTTTTATCCTGGTTTGGATGGTAGATTGTAAACTACTTTACCTATTTGTCAGATTAAACCAGGCTTTCTCAAATATGACATTTGGGATACTGTAGGATGCACAGTAGTACCCTGGCCTCTTTTCATTCTCTCTGGTTGTGACAGAGAAATCCTCAGCCACTCCCATTAGATGTTGCCTGATGGGACAAGAGTGTCCCCAGTTGAAAATCCCTAGACTAAGTTTTACATATATATTTTACTTTGGCTGTTAATTCTGGTTAATCAGCGGTTGTCTGGACCCTGTACTGTCAAGGGTTTGAAACGCAATCTCAAAGAATTCTGGAATAGATTAGTATTGTCTGCCATGGGCACAGGATATGGCATTGGAGTGTATGGTGTCTGGCTTAGGCCCCACAAACAGGTGATAGAAAATGTCCAGGATACCAAAAGGGTTATCCTGTTCCTGAAGGCCCTGGCAGTCCAGATGGGTAGAAAAGACATGTTGCTGACAGACCCAGGGCTGCATAACAAGGCAAGCTGCTGCTGCTGCTGCTGTTGATACCTGGTGCCAGTGCAGTGTCAACAGGTGTCAGGTATCTTTGGAGTTCAAGGAAGTTGTGGCTGCAGAGGCTGGTATGGCAGGGAAAGAATTCTGGAATAGATTAGTATTGTCTGCCATGGGCACAGGATATGGCATTGGAGTGTATGGTGTCTGGCTTAGGCCCCACAAACAGGTGATAGAAAATGTCCAGGATACCAAAAGGGTTATCCTGTTCCTGAAGGCCCTGGCAGTCCAGATGGGTAGAAATGACATGTTGCTGACAGACCCAGGGCTGCATAACAAGGCAAGCTGCTGCTGCTGCTGTTGATACCTGGTGCCAGTGCAGTGTCAACAGGTGTCAGGTATCTTTGGAGTTCAAGGAAGTTGTGGCTGCAGAGGCTGGTATGGCACTGTGGAGTTAGAGACCATGGGAACCTTGGCCTGCCTGTGTTAATAAGTGGTTATGGTGCAGCCCAGACGTGCCTGCACAGCTTTGTTTGTTGTTTTAATCTCCAGCTTTGGGCTTAATTAAAGTTGTGTTTGCACGGTCATCTTACCACTCTAACTCGGGCTCTCCATTGTTTTATTTTTGCCATCTTGGTTATTAAGAAGCATTTCAGCTTTAGGAACCAGGTGAGAGCATGAACTTGTGTTGTTGCCCCCAGCTTGTAGGGTGCAGGTGCATCCCAGGGCAGGCACAGGGACTGCATGTTGGGGTCAGGCAGCAGACCCTTGGGACTGGGGAAAGGGCCTTCTCTGGGGCCCTTATTGGTTAGAGTGAGTATTCATCTGGTCAGTGAGAGAATTCGCCTTGAGCTCAGTTGTCTAAATGCAGGTAGAAAAGAAGCTATGCTTATTAGCTCAGAGCCAGGTCTGGCTTACTCTCAGGGCTTGCATTGCAGGCCTGCCCCCTGCACTGTGCTACCCTCCTCTCCACCCCTGCTTGGCTTCTCTGTGGAAGCTGCCCTGCAAGTGGTTGATTACTGTGGTCTCCCGGCTCACAGGGGAAGGGATGGGTTCAGATGCATCCATGGGAACTAGGTCTCTTGAGTTTCTGAACAGGAAGTCATGGCTACTATTGCCCCTCTTCTTTTCTGGCTAGTCCTGGAAGGAATTCTTCCCAAGTGGGGACCAGCTGGTTCCAGGGTCTTCTTCAGGAAAAGTCCTCAGCTTGTTAGGCTTGGAGAGTATTTTGGGTCTTGAGTGGAAGTTGGAACTGGAGCAGCAGGGAAGCCACAGATGTGATGGCTCCACTTAAGCAGGAATGTGCAGGCCAGGAGGCCTGATCCTGACCAGCCTTCTCACACAAAGACCTCACTGTCTGATGGGGAGGTGTGGAGCCAGCCCTGTGCCCCACGGTGTGCTTTAGGAGCCAGTGTGGCTTCCCTGAGGAGGGCATGCCCTATGTCTGTGTGATGTGGTCCTTGCTAGGGCTAGCCTCATGCTTCCTATGTGCTGTGCACTGTAGACTGTTTACCTATGCAGACACAGGTC